ATCGACGTGTCGACCCCGTGTCCGACCCTTCTAGACAGCCTCTTCTCGGTTGACAAGTTTTTCCATGATGGCTTGACGAGCTTGCTCCAGCTTCACAAGAGTTCACAGGTTCCACCAGAGTGAGACTTGTAAACAGGAACTAGTGAAGCAACGAAAGTGCAAAATGCCTCCCCCCCCCTCCGTCGCCACAGCGCCCAATGCCACTCGCCACTACTCCATCTTCGTCCAAACTCCACTTTTCTAGGGCAAAATGCTCTTACCGGCTTCTCTCCTAATAGTGCTGCTGGAATGACGGCAATCGATGAAACAACGATAGCTTGTGTCTGAATAAGCGCCATGTTAGACAGTGCAACTTGCCAATTTTGTTTTGGTGCTAACATAGGAAAAAACCAATAAAGTTTTTCTTAAAAACCATACCAGGGTAGACAGCCTGGAAGCCAACGTCATCTCGAGGTTGCCTTTTAATCCAACCAGGGTCGGTACTAGTGTGACAGCGTCCGGAAGCTCTATGAAGAACGACCAGGTTTCGGCATCCTCGAGAAGAAGGCCAGCAAAAATCAGACCGAGGCCGGCGAATAGGAAGGGAATAAGAGTCTGAAAAAGGTGTTTTGGAAGTTGACGCAAGTCCAGGGTGAACTCCAACTAAAATTCATTCTTATGTTTTTTATTCTCTTTGAGTACTTCCGTAAATGTGGTAGAGTAGTTTACGCGCTGAAGTAGCCGTTTCAATTTCCCAATGAAAGGAAAATAATGACAGGTCTGTCTCCGCCCATACAATCAAAATGGACAGAGTTTATTGAGAAACATCCACACTGCCTTCACTATTTGATAAACGATCACAAACCTCAAGAAAGAATGATATGTTCGTTTCGGGCTTCCTTGGTGGTGCCGGAGGAGGTTTCTTCAGAGACATTTGTTGAATAATCACCGCTATTGGGGCGAATATCCACTGTTCTGGTGAAGACGTCGATAGTGCAGCTCCAGGGTTTCTGAAATGAAGCTCAGATGAAAGATTCGAAAAAGCAGTCAGTTTAGTTATATTTGATTAAGAAAGTCGACATCAAAAGTGTTAGTCAGAACATCTCTATGGCAGTAGCAGGAGACTCCCAGGGGTAGCTCGGAGGCGGGTGGGAGGGGGCACTTGCACGTTTGATACTTCTCGTCAACGCGTCGACCCATCTAGAGAGCCATTTCGTGAGCTTACAAGAGTTGACAGGTTTCGTCACGGCGGCTCGACGAGCTTGCTCCAGCTTCACAAGAGTTCACAGGTTTCACCAGAGTGAGACTTGTAAACCGGAACTAGTAGGGAAAGTGCAAAATGCCCCCCCCCCTCTCCCGGTCATCGATGCTCCCGATCGAAGTAGTGCCACGGTGGACAGCCGCTCATATGACTTCTACACCTGTTCTTGCGCCTGTAGAGAAAGTCTGGTCATGTGAGAATGAAATATGTAATGACATCTTGTCGACCAACTGCTGCCGAAAACCAGACGTCAGTCTTGATCTACAGTTCCAGCGTGGTGGTTCTGAGCGCACCTACACTCCATATCCGAAAGATGGAGAGGGCGTGGCCGCACTTTCAGTGCAATGTGGCGGCGGCTGAGCAGCAGATAGGATATTGACTTCAAATGGGACCATGATTTCTTCTAGCAAGAAAAAGGATGACAGCTGCCTCAACTAGAAATATTCCACCAAAAAGCCACCTAGCACCATTTTTCAAATGAAGAACGCAGTCACGCCCTCCCTATCTCTGGGATATAGAGTGTAATTTGAGCGCACCCTATACAACTGAGGTAAGATACAGAGGACAAAAAGAAAGACATTCATCACTGGAGACAATCTTGCCTATACATTTCTTCGATTTTCCTTAGACGCAAGTCTACGAAGTAAAATTTACCTCATGACCGTCTCTACACACGATCAGAAAGTGCT